CTCTGAAAGAGCCTGGAGTAATTTATCCCCCCTGAAAACACAATGCTATGCTCAGGCTCTGCTCTTATATCAAAGGTTCCTATGTACAGCCTTTCTCTTAATCAAACAATGAATATATCAGAAATTAAATCAATGTTTATTGGTCGTGTACACAGTTTAGCAGATGTTATAGCGGGTGCAGCGAAATGCTTATGTTACTAGCTCATAACAATGCAGTATAATGTCAAACAGTACACAAATAATAAAAAATGAACAAATGTTGGAACGAACTCCGATTAACAACCCAAATAACACTGTTCCTGCTATATTGAATATGTACTGAACAAAAATATAAAGTCACCTTGGTTATCAAAACGTGATGCCAGGGTAAGCCTATACGAAACACAGCCCTTATTTGAAGTGTTTCTAAAATCCCCTGTGGGAAAAATGAATGGTGTAAAAACATTTTTTTTTAACCATTTCTGTTTGACCGCTAGGTTTTATGGGTATTATGACACCTCCACTGTGGGGCTCTATAGCACAATGGTGACACTTGGGTCATTGTGTTGGACTACAAGAGATCACTGGGCTCACCTTGTCTGAGCATTATCTACAGATAAAAGACAGGATCCAGTCTCTTCACCAAACAATCCTCCCTATCTTCTATCATTCTCCATTGTAACATTTTTACTTTAACTTCATAATTTAAATATCAGCAGGAAATAGCACTTTTCAATGGTCATAAATGTAAGATGCAGAATAGTATAAAGTTAGTTTCACGCAGAGTTCCTAACACATGCAAGGCGGTGGATAGTTAAGGGAGGGCAGCATTCTAAGAAAAACAGAAAGGAAAACGCTGCACACTGCTGCTCATGCTCCCAGGTGATATTTATTTATAACAACATTTCCACCCTTAGGTCTTCATCAGGCATCCATATCCCATGTGGGGGTGGAAGGTCCTAAAATATAGGGGCAGTACTCAGTGACATCACTTCCTGAAACAGGAGGTAAAAAATATAACATAAGTTCACAATATTAACATTCAATGCATCAAAATATATGATCATACACAAGGAATGTGATCAATATTTACAGCAATATATACATATACACATACAATATTCAATTAGTATAAAAAACAATAATTTGGACATTCTTAAACTATAAAAACGGTTTCAAGTCGAACTCCTCTTAAAGGCCAAGAGGAGACAGTGTGTTGAGCATGTGGATCCAGAAAGATTCCCTTTGAAGAAGTTTCCTCTCAATGTCCCCTCCCCTGCGTGACATCTTGATAATTTCTATTCCAATGTATCTCAGAGAACTAATAGGATGTCCAGCTTGTACAAAATGAACAGCAACCGGATTTTCTGTCTCACCTGTCCGTATATTGCTGCGGTGCTCACTGATCCGTGTCTTAAGGCTTCTATAGGTTTTCCCTATGTAAGACAGACCACAACGACATTTCAACATGTAAATAACATCGGTGGACATGCAGGTAATCAGGCCTTTGATCTTAAATCTTTGTCCTGTGCGGGGGTGGGTAAATGAGTTACATTTGTACGTGAAGCTGCATTGAGCACATTGGCCACATTTGTAATTACCCTCCGGAACCTTGTCCAAGAAAGTTTCCCTTTTCTCTGGTGGATAATCAGATTTAACCACGATGTCTCTCACATTTGGGGGTCTTTTAAAGACCATACGTGGGGGATAATTAAAGATGGTTTCAATTGTGGGTCAGTATCAATCATGTATTGGGTGAAGCATGAGGGGACATGTTCTGCTTTTTCTTTAACTTTTGGTTGAAGGCTTTCCAACTGTGTTAGTCCTTCAAAACGATCATTGGCATGTTTTGCCCAATAGTCTTTGTTCCCCCTTTCCTTAAACCTCTGTATGAGGTCCGTGGTGTGTTTCTGGTAAGAAGCATCAGAGCTGCATACTCTTCTGATGCGACTGAATTGACTTATAGGGAGACTTTTAATAAGTGGACGTGGATGAAAGCTGTCACCTCTAAGAAGGGTATTCCTGTCCGTAGGTTTCCTATAGAGATCTGTAGAGAGGGAGGTGTTGTCCTTAATAACCATCACATCAAGAAAACTGATTTGTGATAGGTCATAGTTAATGGTGAAATGAAGGTGTTCATTCATAGTGTTTAGATAGGCATGGAATTCCAAAAGTTCTTCCTGGGTCCCTGTATAGATCACGAAAATGTCGTCCAAATATCTAGGCCGCCCTGATGGAAGATGTTAGTATATAGACTGGTAACATCAAAAGTGCACAGAATAGAATGTTCAGGTATATGGTCCACAGATTAAAAAAGATTAATAAAATCAATAGAGTCTCTAATATATGTGGCGAGAGAGATCGCCCAGGGTTTCACAAAATAGTTCACAAAGGTTGAGATATTCTGTCAGAGATCCGTTACTACTCACAATGGGCCTGCCTGGTATAGGTGGTGTCATGCTCTTGTGAATTTTGGGAGAGCGTATATGACAGGTGTGGTTGGGCAGTCCATTTTCATATACTCATATTCTGTCTTTGTAATTTCCCATTCATTTTTTTGTTGTTGACAATTTTTCATGAATCGGAGACTTGAATTAATTAGTAGGGTCCTTAGGGAGTCTTTTGTCAAATTCATCATCACTAAGTTGTCTCAGAATTTCCTTTTCATAGTCTGCTGCATTTTGTATCACTATTGCACCTCCTTTGTCAGCAGGTTATATAATGATCCTGGAGTCATTTTTGAGTTCCATAAGAGATTAGTTCTCTGCTTTGGATATATTATGGAATACCTTGTATTCTTTTTTCTTAGCCAGGAGATTATGTACATCTTTCTCAACTAGGCAATGTTTCAAGAGAGGGGTTTCTTTTGGGTGGTAAAAATGTGCTTTTCCTGTTAAAATATGTATTCTCCCTTGTCATGTCCTCAGCGCGAGAGTCAAGTTCATTGTCATTCAGTTTATCAATGGGAAAAACATTAGCACTATATCCTGTCTGGTTACTATTATAGTTCAATGGATTAACATGGGCAGGTGCACAGGGAGCAACCCCATGACCAAAAAACTCAGTCAATCTCAAACTGCGAAAAACTTTTTTTTGAAAGTCTATAACTGTATCAAAGTCATTGGCTGGCGTTTACCCTTCCAGCTTGCTCGTGGGGGAGTGCCAATTGGCTGTCTCCGGCCATCCCTCCAGAAATATACCTTGTACTCCTTGTAGTCTGCAGTATCACGCAGCATTCTAACCCACAGATCCCTAAAGAATTTAAGCTATGAAGAGTGTATACTGTAGTGTGTAGTTAACCAGAACAGATTAGAGTGTCTGCATAAACACAGAGCTAGGGAGTGAGCTGGGTGGGCTGAACATGGTCATCTCCATAGATTCTTATCTTTTCCAGTAGACTATATTTAGTTTTACTCAAACTCTACAGTACAAACCCGTTTTCACAGGGCAACGTTGCACAGCTTACTTTACATTGAAATATCCTCCATCTAAATATTCCTCTTTCCAATACTGCCATCTATCTATCCAATACTCATACAGTATATCTACCAATTAAGGGGAAGTGAGGAGGGTATCGCAGCAAACCAGTAATCAGAGGTTGTTCCTGCCTGTTCTCCAGAGGCTCCTCGGGCAGTTATCTGTGAGAATCACTGACACCATGGAAACAGAAACATGTCCCATCTCGCTCTCAAACATTACCCAGTCTAGATTACCTCAAAATGACTGAGACAGAGAAAGTCTTTGTAATAGATGAGAACCTGAAAAATCCCTGTAGTTTCACAGTTGCGTTGATTTATTGACCTTCATGAAAAAAAACTGTCAACTGATCCACAGAAACATCTGTCCTCAGATTGTCACACAAAGTCACCATGACACATTCCACAAATTCCAACCAGTGAATGAAGAAGACTATAATCACAGACAATGACTCGTAATTTTCCACCAGTCATGTGAGGAGTGATTCAGTCTACCCAGTCCCATGAGCACCAGGGCATTGGAATGTGATAAGGGTTACGCAACAGAGACAAAAGTTACACATTTAAGAACAATAACACCAATAGAAACTAGCTAAAACCATTTGTTTCTTAAAATGTATGACATACAATAAGCTAATTTAAAACAAACTTTTAATGGCTTAAAACAATGGAACAAAAGGTAAAAAATGAGCAGTGTTAATGTGTATAGCCTACAGCCTATGATCTCACTGAGGCGAATATACAGTATAAAGGCATAGAACAGTGAGGATATGTAGATTATAGACTTAAAGTCAGTTTGGCTCCAACATTGCCCCTCTAAAATATGGGTACTCATCACCATAATCCTCAATACTTTTCACCTAACTGCATTACATTTGATACCACATTCCCTTACTTTAGCACTACAAGGCACAATGTAAAAGTCTCTATTTGGGGATTTCATAAAACATGTTGTTTACCATGTGCTAGGCAATAACAAGTCCAATATGCATTGTTGTTTGACCTCTTGATCTTCACATTAAGACAATATCTAACTACATATTTACATCTTTCACATTTGTCCTCTAACGGCTTGTCAAGAATTGTGATAAATACATTCATATGAAAATCACAAAAGGAGTAACAAGTCCAGGATATATATTCGCCCATTTTCACTAGTAGTCTGTGTAAGGTAACTCAGCAGTGGCCAAAGTCCTAATTTAAAACGTACTAAAGCTCCTCTTGACAATTTGTTAGACAGATAAGAAATATAGTTCCTCTTCCTGTGGTTTGCTTACTGAGCTGAGACCCATTTTCTCCTCTTCTGGACTCGATGTCCTTAAGTCCTGGTCCTGTGAGAGGTCAGGTTGTTTGTCTGTCCCACACAATAACACACCATCATGTTCCCTTTCTTGTAAATTATTCTATTTCACAACTGTTATAGGAGAGACCCCTTTAGTCTCTTCATTTCTACAAGGCACATACAGCCAGTTCCAGTGCGTCACAGTCCACAACGACCCTCTCCTAGTGTCTTTCCCTAGTCATCCGAATGGCTGCCATCCATTATCAGCAGGTACTGCTCTGTGTGTTCCCAGACTCAGACACGTAGGCCTTGCTCTTCTTGGAGTACTTCATGGAGCTGAAGGAAACCCTCATCCTCTCCACCGTCCTGCTGCTTCTACACAGCAGTGTGTTCTTCACATGGTCCCTGAAGTCCTTCGACACAAAGTAGTAGATGAAGGGATCCAGACAGCTGTTGAGGCTGGCCAGACACAGAGTGGTGACGTAGAAGCCGTAGCCGTTGTTCACCACCCCATCTTTGAGGAGGGAGTAGTGGACGACCAGCATGATGTTACTGGGGATGAAACACACCAGGAAGGTGACCAGCACGGTCACGATCAGCACCACGGCTTTCTGACGGTTCTTCCCGGCGCTCCCGTCCGCCATGGCGTTCCCGAGAGCCTTGAGGAGGAGGATGTAGGCCAGGATGATGACCAGCGAGGGAACCATGAACACGATGCCGGCCATGAGGACAAAGTAGAAGTAGGGGAGAGCTACGTCAGGGAAGGGGTTATCCAGGTCATGGATGATGTTGACGTCATGGCAGGTGGTGATGTTGGGGTCCTTGAGCTTGGCAGTGTGGTTGTACAGGTACAGAGGGGTGGTGGTGAGCCAGATGAAGGCCCAGATAGAGACGGAGACGGCAACGGCCAATTTGTTGTTCTTCCTCTGCTGAGATAGAGGATGGGCAACACCCCAGTAACGTTGCACACTCAGACAGGTGATGAAGAGGATGGAGCAGTACATGTTTCCGTAGAAGAAGCCCACCAGGACTTTACACAGCCCCTCTCCATAGACCCAGTCGTTGCCGTTGAAGTGGTAGGCGATCTTCAGGGGAGTCCAGATGACAAAGAGCAGGTCGGACAGAGCCAGGTTGGCCATGTAGATGGCGGAAGGGTTCTTTTTCTTGGTCCTGAAAAGGAAGACCCAGATGGCCATGGCGTTGGTGGGCAGCCCCACAGCAAACACCACTATGTAGACGATGGGGAGGAACACAGTGGTCAGACTGCTCCGCAGCGTGTCCGCGGTCGCCTTGGCCACTGTAACGCGGTCGGCATCCTGAGGGTCAACCACCCCGATGAACCCTCGTGTTTTAACTTTTGATGAAACACAGGAGAGAAACGTCACTGACAAAGATCTATAATGTTAGACTGTGTTGGTGAGCCCCAACATACAATAAGTTACTGTAAAAAAACATGGCTAAACAACATGTACAAATCATTAAATTAAGCAATGATTTGAATGACAGAGATTCTATATTGTTTAAAAAATGTACTTAATAGATATAAGATAAGGTATTAACTCGAATTTCACAGTCTTCTTAATATCTCAAATATATAGAGTCATTCCATCTCTAGGCTACCCATACCAAATGGGTACAAACATACATACAATACATATTCCTGGGACACGAAAGAGTATTATAATAAAGAGGTGACGATACTCTGAAAAGGTAGGTCAACCAAAGGTTGGAACCGACAGGGACGCTAAACACAACACAATACAATACAAGGCCTTTACAGGTAGACTAGTCAGTCTACTGACAAAGACATGAGATCATTTATAAAAGATCAATCTTACCTTGAGACGCATTTTGTGCACAAGCGCAACCGAGCAACAATAAGCAGGAAAGTATTCGAGATGAGCCCATTGTCCGTGAACTTTGTACAGTATTAGTGTCTGTGTATCTAGTCCTATCGCGTTCGAAATGGTTGTTAACTTCACTCCGACGTCCAATATACCTTTTTTCTCTCTGACCGAAACAGGACACACCCTAAGAACTACGAGAGACTGACGGAATCAACCACCGTGCGCGCTCGCACGCACATATACATTACACGGTTTCGAGTGTCTGTTAATTTCCACCTGCCTCGAGCATAGTGCTTTGAGAACAGGAATCAGTAAGCCAATAGGAAAGATGCCTATGTATGAAACACCATATTTGTATGCTGCTTACAAATATATACTCCTTCACTAAGCATAAAAGTAGTTTCCCTTGGCTTTTACAACATCTTGAGTCTAAACAGGGAAGGTAATCACGTGGCTGAGTAGAGCGCTACTTTACACGGCTTTTATCTGTTTGGGCATATCTAAGGATAGCAGACAAATCGCAGTTAATTCAATGTAAATCTTATAGGGGGATATATAGGGGAGACCGGGATGGTTGACCGGGACCCTCCTGAAAAAACAAGTATCTGTGATAGACAGAAATCTTATTTCGAGGTAAGAAGGTAATTATTTTGACCAAATGTGTTTTGTGATGGCATCAACTGCTTTGTAGTTCCGTTCACTAAACTTATATCATGTTTATAGCCAGTCTGTGTAGAGATATTTGATGCAAATTAGCAATGCTAAAGTTTTAACATTTAACTAAAATGTAAGCTAGCTAATGGCTGCAAGGGTCAGGGTTAGTTGTAACAACTTGTGAGAAAATGATACATCTAACCCAGAGGTACATGTTTTCTTTTACTTTCAGCATCCCTGGATCATGGAAAAGACAGACAGGGGAGTACCTCTCCACACTTTGAACAAGCATCAAATGATGTAGCAGAGCAGGGGAAGTCAATCAGATCGGTTGCAAAGTTGTAGGGCATATGTTATGTGATGCTGTACAGATTCTGCAAAGGAAGAAAGAAGCTACTGGAGAAGGGGTTGAAAGAGCTTCCTCATGTTGGCTACTGTAGTGGAAAGAGGGTCTTCATGGATGAGCAGAAGTTGTCAGAGTATCTCTTGAGGGCAGCTGATTTATTTATGACCACTGTGCCCACTGCTATCCAGCCCACCTCTCCAGCTGCCTCCCAGGCCACCGCTCCAGCTGCCTCCCAGGCCACCGCTCCAGCTGCCTCCCAGGCCACCGCTCCAGCTGCCTCCCAGGCCACTGCTCCAGCTGCCTCCCAGGCCACCGCTCCAGCTGCCTCCCAGGCCACTGCTCCAGCTGCCTTCCAGGCCACCTCTCCAGCTGCCTTCCAGGCCACCTCTCCAGCTGCCTCCAGGCCACCTCTCCAGCTTCCTTCCAGGCCACCTCTCCAGCTGCCTTCCAGGCCACCTCTCCAGCTTCCTTCCAGGCCATCTCTCCAGCTGCCTTTCATGCCACCTCTCCTGCTTCCTTCCAGGCCATCTCTCCAGCTGCCTTTCATGCCACCTCTCCTGCTTCCTTCCAGGCCATCTCTCCAGCTGCCTTTCATGCCACCTCTCCTGCTGCCTTCCAGGCCACCTCTCCTGCTTCCTCCCAGGCCACCTCTCCTGCTTCCTTCCAGGCCACCTCTCCTGCTGCCTTCCAGGCCACCTCTCCTGCTGCCTTCCAGGCCACCTCTCCTGCTTCCTCCCAGGCCACCTCTCCTGCTTCCTCCCAGGCCACCTCTCCTGCTTCCTTCCAGGCCACCTCTCCTGCTGCCTTCCAGGCCACCTCTCCAGCTGCCTCCCAGGCCACCTCTCCTGCTTCCTTCCAGGCCACCTCTCCTGCTTCCTCCCAGGCCACCTCTCCTGCTTCCTCCCAGGCCACCTCTCCTGCTTCCTTCCAGGCCACCTCTCCTGCTGCCTTCCAGGCCACCTCTCCAGCTGCCTCCCAGGCCACCTCTCCTGCTTCCTTCCAGGCCACCTCTCCTGCTGCCTTCCAGGCCACCTCTCCTGCTTCCTCCCAGGCCACCTCTCCTGCTTCCTCCCAGGCCACCTCTCCTGCTTCCTTCCAGGCCACCTCTCCTGCTGCCTTCCAGGCCACCTCTCCAGCTGCCTCCCAGGCCACCTCTCCTGCTTCCTTCCAGGCCACCTCTCCTGCTTCCTCCCAGGCCACCTCTCCTGCTTCCTCCCAGGCCACCTCTCCTGCTTCCTTCCAGGCCACCTCTCCTGCTGCCTTCCAGGCCACCTCTCCAGCTGCCTCCCAGGCCACCTCTCCTGCTTCCTTCCAGGCCACCTCTCCTGCTGCCTTCCAGGCCACCTCTCCTGCTTCCTCCCAGGCCACCTCTCCTGCTTCCTCCCAGGCCACCTCTCCTGCTTCCTCCCAGGCCACCTCTCCTGCTTCCTTCCAGGCCACCTCTCCTGCTGCCTTCCAGGCCACCTCTCCAGCTGCCTCCCAGGCCACCTCTCCTGCTTCCTTCCAGGCCACCTCTCCTGCTGCCTTCCAGGCCACCTCTCCTGCTTCCTCCCAGGCCACCTCTCCTGCTTCCTCCCAGGCCACCTCTCCTGCTTCCTTCCAGGCCACCTCTCCTGCTGCCTTCCAGGCCACCTCTCCAGCTGCCTCCCAGGCCACCTCTCCAACCGCCTTCCAGCCACTTCATAGGGCACCTCCCCACATCAGTCGCATCAGGTGTTTCCCAGCCACAGTATCAGGCTGTGGCTGGGAAACACCTGATTACTCTTCTGATTTCAACCTAGTTGATGTACGCCCCTTCCCAAAAGCAGGGCCCAGAAAAATTACAACAAGGGGTAGGAAGAGGAGAAAAACTGTGATTTTGACAGATACACCGGTCAAGCAGGCACTGGAAGGAGAGCATCAAAAGTCAAGCACTCAGAAGGCAAAAAGAAAAATTGCCCTGCCTAAAAAAACTGCTGTTAAGAAGCAAGCCAAGACAAACCACACTGAACAACAAAAAATTGTCCTGCCTAAGAAAAAAGCCTAAACAAAGCACATTGAACCAGAAGATTCAGATTCCTCCAACAAGGAAAACTTCTGCATTGTGTGCATGGAGGACTTTAACAATTCCAAGTCCAAGGAGGTCTGGGTGGTGCTGGGAATGCAAATGATGGGCCCACCAAGCCTGTACCCCAGGACAGCCATACCACTGTCACAACTGTGGCTCTGATTAAGTGAACATGTCCAACATTCAGTCACACACAGACACGCACGCACCACAAACGTTCAGGTGTTTAGTTTAGCCAAGTTGTTGTTTGGTTGAGAAATACCATTTAGTGGAGGGTAAAATAGTAATTGTATTATTTATGTATTATTATTATTTCTGCCAAACAAAAGGTAAACTTGGCAACGTTGCTCTCATGGTCTCAATAAAAGCATTCAATAATTAGTTGAATGTCATGATTTATGCACTTTTTAGTTGTTCCAATTCACCCCAAGCACTGTTACAACTAACCCAGACCATAGGGTAAATTGCAACACTTCACTCCTTGTATTTAAGACACCACCATGCATTTGCAGTTTGATTTCCATATATAACCACACCAATTTGTAAATGACAGAAGTAGGTTGTTTGTATCAAGTTTTGAATACACTACCATAAACGATCTCTGAGAAACTGACGAAAAGGTGAAAAGTGTTACAACCATCCCCGGTCTCCCCTACCCATTTCTATATAAATCAGAACTATGCCAATCTGGTATTGGTTCTCTTGGGCATTGCTGCAATAAACAAAGTATTCACCATTTCATGTATGCCTGGACTATGGTCACTTTTGAGGCAATGTTCTTTAGATATGTCATTTTTCCACATTGAAATAGACCCATTCCACCATTTCTTTATTCTGATTAAATAGATTGAATTCAACCAAGTTGAAGAGGTTGCCATTTCAGCAACCTCTCACGGTGTAGGCTAAAGTTAAATGACAAAACTAAACTGTGCATCATAGAAGTAGGGGTGCTGCAATAATGCACTAAGGCCTTTAAAAGTCATTTATTAGCGAACCAACAGAGCTGTCTGCAGCGCAGGCAAAAACATCCCCCCCAAACTACTCCCTTCAAATAAAAAACAAATACAATCGCAGCACCCCCAACTACTTCCCGCAGCTATGCTGTGCATTCAAGATAATTATCAGAATTTCCCCTTTCATGCAAGCGATCTCACAGAAGAGGGAACCAATGCTAAATGCCAGTCGGCTGACTAAAAACCAAGGCCATATGAATTGTTTTATTGTTGTTGCTTTTTATTAAAAACACAAAATATTTCCATCACAACATGCAGTAAAAAAAAAAAAAGTATACACAAAAAAAAAGTTCAATAAATAAACAATTTATACATGACATTGAGTCAATCAGATGTGCATTTACAAGGATTATGCATAGGTGCTAGAAAGAATCGATTCATGATTTAGGTCAAGTATGGCTCATTTGATAAAGAACAGTGCACATTCCCAGAAGTGAAGGGTCAGTGCTATTGGGCATTGAGAACTAAGTTTACAGTTTCAGAGAGCTGCAGTGCTTGAACAAACTTAATGGACATCTGACTGTTTAAATGTGGGGAATGGATCAGAAACACAGAATAAAAACATTGCCTCTTCACTCTTACCAATTTTGTCCTCTACATAAACCAAGGAGGAGAGAAAGGCAATGTAACAAGGCACATAATATGAAGTAGTCTGGGGTTGCATCTCAGTTTATAATGGCTTAGTCTCCATTGATACTGATGAAAACAAATGGCAGGTGAAAGAAACATGGCAAATCAACACCAACCCGGTATTCCCTTTACTCATCCAGTTCTTTAAAAACATCAGTACAGCCAACTTCAGTACAGCCAACTTCTACCCCCCTTAACAGGAGCTGCTCTGTGTTTTCCCCGAGTCGGAGGTGTAGGTGCTACTCTTTTTGGAGTACTTCAGAGCATTGAACGAGACCCTCATTCTCTCCACCGTCCTCTCGCTGCGGCATCTCAGTGTGTTCTTCACATGCTGCCTGAACTCCTCTGAGATGAAGTAGTAGATGAATGGATCCACACAGCTGTTGAGGGCAGCCAGACACAGGGTGGAGATGTAGAAGCCGTAGCCGTTGTTCACTTCTCCGGCCAGCAGGAGAGAGTAGTGCACCAGCAGCATGATGTTACTGGGGGCGAAACAGACCAGGAACATAACCAACACGGTGATGATGAGCACCACCGCCTTGCGTCGATTCTTGGCAATGCTGGCATCGGTCATAGAGTTCCTCAGGGACTTCAGCATCAGAACATAGGCCACCACGCACACCACGGTGGGAACTACAAATCCCAGGATTCCCATGGTCAGGAAGTAGCCTGCAGCCATGCTATTCTGGCTGGGCCGGGTGACGTCGTGGCATGTGATGATGTTGAGGTTGGTCACTTTGACCGTCTGTTCATAGAGGTAGAGAGGGGTGGTCAGCAGCCAGACGCCCACCCAGACGGCGACAGAGACGCTGATGGCTACCTGGTTGTTTCTCCTATTCTGGGAGAGGGGGTTGACGATGGCCCAGTAGCGCTGGACACTGATACAGGTGATGAAGAGGATGGAGCAGTACATGTTCCCGTAGAAGAAGCCCACCAGGACTTTACACAGCCCCTCTCCATAGATCCAGTCGTTGCCGTTGAAGTGGTAGGCGATCTTCAGGGGCGTCCAGATGACAAAGAGCAGGTCGGACAGAGCCAGGTTGGCCATGTAGATGGCGGCAGGGTGCTTCTTCTTGGTCCTGAACAGGAAGACCCAGATGGCCATGGCGTTGGTGGGCAGCCCCACAGCAAACACCACTATGTAGACGATGGGGAGGAACACCGTGGTCAGACGACTGTCCAGGACCATGCGGGCCGTCAGGGAGACCCACACTCCATCCGGTGTCTCAGTCCCAGTGAAGCCTCGGTTTTCAACATCAGTATTAGTCCACTCTGAGAAAGAGAGAAGAGAAACAAGGTGAGTAGGAACAGGGCTATCTGAGGAATTCTAACAATGGGGTTCAAAAGTTTGCCATTTGAATACAATAGACATTTGTGATTTATTTAATTCGCTTTCAGGTTCACGCTTCAACTATTACTTTTATATTGTTCTTAAAATGATTTGGATTCAAATTAAAGACTAATTATATGAAATCAACTAATAAGACCCCAGGTGGCCATTTTCTCTTCAGAATCTAGACTTTGGAAAGATCAGTCTGTCAATACTATGTGGGATGACATTTTGGGCGCATTCCTCTGCCCAGGTGTTGCTGACCCCTGACAGATCTTACAACGCCTGTATAAGTATTTTACGTATCATCTAACCAAATACAGATTGGTATAATGTCAGTCGATGATGTGGCATGCAACCATTGGTTGATGCATGCAAAGTCTGAGCAGGGGAACGCTGCCGCATTCAAAACAACTGGGAAATGGGAAACAAGTCGGAAAACTCGGGCATCCTTCTAGAGCTCCGACTTGAAGATCACTGATGTCATGATTTGACCACGTTTTTTTCCAAGTTCCCAGTTGTCTTGAAAGTACCATGTGACCATACTATTTGATGAAGGAGTTATTTTACACTGGCCCGGGTTGAACCGGGCAAAGGCCAGACACGTCATCCGGTGAAAGCGGGGAGGGAGGAGCGCCCTTCTCAAATCGAACAGTAGGTTTCCAATGGGAGCAAATTAATCATAGTGGGCAGAATAAGCAAGGTGGTGGGCAGAGCCAAAATCCATCTCACTCCATCTTCTCCTAGTACTGGCCACTGGGCTTCCGCTTCCGTAGTGAGTGGAAACGGCAATCAGATGCTTCACATTTATAAATTCTGTGAAATATCTGGCTCATTGTGCTGTGATGCAACATCTATTTTCCAAAAAATAAAACTGTTTTAATTAGTTTTCATTGGGAAGGCAAATAAAGCGTTCACTTTTGAATGGGGAAACACAGAATCCTACTAATGATGCTAATACACCTGCTTAACTAGGCCCCAAGTCACTTTTGTTTTGAGCCTCTGGACATAGCGGGACACCTTGCTCACGCCCGGGAGGTAGCCCGGTTCCAAAACGAATGCAATCAATTTTCAACCGGTGCAAGAGACCCCCTAGACGGGCGCCCGGGCTACATTAATCGAGCCCCTCGATGTCTTGCGGTTTGTAAGAACAACGACATTGGAAATACCATCACAACATGACAAACAGGATTATTTCACAAACTCTGTATTCATTTAGGAATCAGATAAGAGGGGATTCCTAAATTAATACATTTAAGTATATCACAACAACGTCTCTGATCGAACAAAAACACACACCAATAACAAGACTAATAGACGAGTCATCCCGCTCCTCCGCACACTCCACTGGCTTCCAATTGAGCCTCGCATCTACTAACCAAGACCATGGGTGCGTTGGCTACAGAAGGCTGAGGGGAACGGCTCCTCCTTACCTCCAGGCTCTGATCAGACCCTACACCCAAACGAGGGCATTACGTTCATACCACCTCTGGCCTATAGCTCCCTACCTCTACGGAAGCACAGTTCCCGCTCAGCCCAGTCAAAGCTATTCGCTGCTCTGGCACCCCCACTGGTGGAACAAGCTCCCCACGACGCCAGGACAGCGGAGTCACTGACCACCTTCCGGAGACACTTGAAACCCTACCTCTTTAAGGAATACCTGAAATAGTATAAAAGTAATCCTTCTTCCCCCACAAAAAGTTGAATGCACCAATTTGTAAGTCGCTCTGGATAAGAGCGTCTGCTAAATAATGTAAATGTAAACGAGGGAAAAGGCTAGCTCTTACCATTTTTCTGAGACAGACAGAGCTCGGCACAAGCCAATAAAAATATCAGTTTCAACCAATGTGGCTTAAAACTCATGTTAACTTCCACAATATGATCGAACAACAATCTATCTGCGACGTATGAAGAGTGTTGAATGGCGACGGCGCGTTCGTTTGTGTATTCCTTCTGTCTGCTACGTTGAAGTGAACTAAAGAGGTAGTACCACATCCTGCCGTCACATAACAGGTGGAAAATAAAAAACCTGTGTGATGTCATGTGACCGTGCACACCTGTGTCCTCAGGCTGACTGGCTGTAGTAGGATCTTGCCCTCAATACACTGATCTAAGGTCAGTTTTGTGTTTTTACACTAAGGCTTCAAGTTAGAATTTGGATCATCATCTAAATAATTTGTAGACTTCAAATTGACGGCGAGAAGCCCAAACAGATATAATATATGACTAAAACATAATCATTTCAAACCTTTCTGACGTTTGTATATGATCACGTGTCTCTCTATTATGTGTGGAAATACTTGGGAACAGATTTCCCAAATTAAAATCAGTTGGAGCTGATTCCCTGGTGTTTGTATATATATATATATATATGTCCAACAATGGACGTTTATTTATTTTTTGCTCAGAAAACATGGGGCCCAAATAAAACCACCCATGGGACAGATTTGTCGGTGGGCCACCAGTTGGGGAACCCTGGTATAAGCTGATCCTAGAGCTGTGCCAAGGGGCAACTTCAATACCACCTGCAGACAAGCAATGTATATGGCAGACAAGCAGATGTGTAAATTTGCCTCCTTGACAAGTGTAGACCTAAGGAGAATTACAGCTCAGCAGTAAGCCTACCAGCATGTGTAGTAGGAAGGCTATTAAATAGTGGGCTAACCTTTAAGTGGAAAAGAAAAGTGCATCAAGAATATTTCCTCACTGTTAAAGAATAAGAAATAGATTGTCTGCTGATCTCCCCTGCCATTTTCTTCTCCTTCTTTGTGTTCCCAGTTGCAACACATAGCAAATGTTTATGAGAGGAATGAGAGAGGGGTGTGTGTTGCATAACGTTCAGTATCCTCAGGGCAGGCTCAGTGGAAGTTCCAAAGGTTTGGTCTTTTTGTTTGACTTAGTTCCTAGCATCTGTTTGGTTAATAAAATGTGTCCTTTAATACAGATGGCTAGTTGCTTGAGGACTCTCATGTGCTTTTCTCCTGCTCTGTCTTTGTTCAGGTGGAACAGAGGAATGGAATGGATAGGATTGATGGTGATGGGGGATGGGATGGGAGGCCGGTTGGATGGACATACTTCCAAATTCTCTAAAAATGACGTCGGAGGCGGCTTATGGTAGAGAAATGAACATTCAATTATCTGGCAATAGCTCTGGTGTACATTCCTGCATGCCAATTGCACGCTCCCTCAAAACTTGAGACATCTGTGACAAAACTGCACATTTTAGAGTGGCCTTTTATTGTCCCCAGCACAAGGTGCACTTGTGTAATGATCATGCTGTTTAATCAGCTTCTTGATATTCCACACCTGTCGGGGGATGGATTATCTTGGCAAAGGAGAAAAGCTCACTAACAGGGATGTAAACAAAACATTTTACCTTTTTGTACGTATGGAACATTTCTGGGATCTTTTATTTCAGCTTATGAAACATGGCACCAACACTTTACATGTTGGTTTATATTTTTGTTCAGTATAAATAGGTATGAAGCACCACCCGCTGGATGTAATGTGAAATGTAATTGACTTGAAGTAAGTATGATTTTGACCAGTAGGGGTATCACAGCACTACTCTACCTTAGCACTCCTAGGCTGTGTATTTGTGTAGTCGAAAAGCTCTTCAATTTCTGCACACACACACTATATATTCACACAAATTGACATTTTTAGCATTAATGAGTCTGAGCTAAAGTTATTGTAGCGATATAATATATAGTGCATGATATTTCTATGCAGCATCGACAACATAGGCTATACATTTCACATTGCCAAGTAAATATTTGTACATAGAAAAAATACTAAATGTTAACAAAATGAACAGAATCAGATCCTACACTACAGGCATGGAAGTGAGCTCACTAAGCCTGCGTAGAAAAATATTTCCTTGTATTGTTCACAGTGTTCTTTTAAGAAATGGTACAATACATTATTGAACAAAGACCCCTTTGTTATTCCCTTATCACAGACCATCAAACTTCATAGAAACTGCTTTGGGGACTTTAAACCTGCTTCAATACTAGCAACTTCAACTTCCATGGGAAAACATTTTAAAGATACCAATTTAAGATGTTATACATGATCATGCATTACATTTTCCTTTTCTCTCACCCTAATGTATCTTCTTGGTAGTTGGGTTCAGCTCAGAAACAGCTGTTGATCCATATCAATCAGACCAGCAGCTTCTTGCACTGGCTGAAACAAGGGAAATGTATATGTCTCTTCTTCATATAGTTGGGCATAGCTAAACCAGACCTAGGAGTGGCATGGCTGCAGATGAATGTCTGACTGAATTCAACGTACTAGCCAAATCCATTCAGTCTCCTCAGAAAAAGCCTAGCTTTGGTCCATGTCTATCTTTAAGACCATAAACTTCTTGCACTGTCTGAAAAACGGGAAATACACTGAGTATACAAAACATTAAGAACCCCTGCTCTTTCCATGACATAGACTGACCAGGTGAAAGCTATGATCCCTTATTGATGTCACTTGTTAAATCAACTTCAATCAGTGTAGATGAAGGGGAGGTGTCAGGTAAAGCCTTGAGACAATTTAAACATGGATTGTGTATTTGTGCCATTCAGAGGGTGAATGGGCAAGACAAAATATTTAAGTGCCTTTGAACAGGGTATGGTAGTAGGTGCCAGGCGCACCGGTTTGTGTCATGAACTGCAATGCTGCTGGGTTTTTCACACTCAACAGTTTCCTGTGTGTATCAAGAATGGTCCACCACCCAAAGGACATCCAGCCAACTTGACACAACTGTGGGAAGCATTGGAGTCGACACCTTGTAGAGTCCATGCCCCGACGAATTGAGGCTGTTCTAAGTGCAAAAGGGTGGGGTGCAACTCAATATTAGGAAGGTGTTCCCAATGTTTGGTATACTCAGTGTACATACTAAATATCTATTCTTCACTTTAGTTAATGAATCAGAAACAGCTCTCTGTATCCCCATCCATCAGACCAGGAGTTGCTTGTACTGGCTGCTGAGGCTGGCCTGGAAGGCATCCACCTTACTTATCCTGGTGCTTGCTCTGGTGCTGGTCCTGGAGGAACCAGAGGATGAGGCCAGACTCTTCTCTCCCTCTGCGGCCGCCCGGCACCCCAGAGCCCCCGCAAGCTGCCTCTGGCACCGGGACGAGCCAAAGTAGTAGACCAGGGGGTCCAGGCAGCAGCTTATGCTCCCCACACACAGCGACACCAGGTAGGCCACATGAGTAGCGTCCGGATCCCCTGCCACCCGCCTGGCAATCTGAAGGTAGTGAGCCAGGAGGATGGCGTTGGTGGGCGTGAAACAGATCACGAACACCACCAGCACGATGACCACCATCACCACTGCTCGTGCCTTCTGCCTTGAACGACCTAGATAAAATGTCAATAGAAAATGTTGTTATCCTCTTATGGGGAAGGTTGTTGTGCAGAAGACATGGAAAAGAGAATCAATACAAAGAGCCAACTTTTTAGACCAAAAACTTGGTCTGGGAAACCGCTCCTATATGTAAAAATGCATGACGGTAGTGGGTGGTCATTGTGCTGCATATCATTTGTGAAGTGCATGAGTCTTGTTTCTATTTACCAATGACGCCGCGTGGAGCCCTGTTGAGCACCTGCACCACCCGGGAGTAGCAGGTCACCATGACGAACAGCGGCAGGAAGTAGAGGGTGCAGGAGAGAATGGGGAAGAAGAAGAGGTAGCGCCCCTCTAACAGCTTCAGGTCCTGGATGTCATGGCAGGTGGTTATGCCCAGTGGGTCGTAGTAGACCGTCTGCTGTGAGAGGACCAGGGGCAGCGAGCCGCCCACAGCCAGGAGCCACATGGAGCTGCAGGCCAGGGCTGCGTTACATGGAGTCCTCCAGGCCAGGGAGTTGATGGGGTAGGCCACGGCCAGCAGGCGGTCCACGCTGATGCAGGTGATGAGGAGGACGGAGGAGTACATGTTGCAGTAGAAGGCGGCGGTGACCAGGCGGCACATCCCCTCGCCGAAGCCCCAGTCGTTGCCACTGTAGTGGTAGACGATCTTGAAGGGCAGCAGTAGGGTGAACAGTAGGTCAGCGGCAGCCAGGTTCAGCATGTAGATCACCGCTGGCTTCATGGGCCGGATCCGTCGGGCAAAAGACACCATGGCAACAGTGTTGAGGGGCACGCTGATGAGGAAGACGATGGTGTAAAGCGTTGGGATGAAGATGGTGGACAGACGGCCTGTGAGGAAGTCGTTGGCCGTAACAGAAATAGCGTAAGACCAGACTCCTGTAACATTCCTGACCGAGCCCAGTTCCACCTGTCCCAGTGTGGAACCATTAATAAATCCAACTCTCTGTCCCGGTGCGGACCCATTGTTGAGTCTGCCTCCGGGCCCATTTCTGTCTTCGTTTGGGTAGTAGTCCAGTAGGTCTAGATCTATATGCTCGTCTGTGACCAGGGGCCCTTCCGTGACTAATCTCCTGGCAAAGGTCCTAACGATGGAGCTGCCTGTGGAGAAAAACAACAGAGACGTGAGTCAGTCACACATGGGGATAGGTGTGGAGCACTGCAGTCTACATTATAATACAGTCATAGAGCTCAGTGGTGTGGAGGGCCTCAAACAGACTGTTTCATTTTCTTTATAGGATCCCCTTGAAATGGGATGAGGGATGTAGCTCAGTTGATAGAGCATGGCGTTTGCAACGCCAGGGTTGTGGGTTGGATTCCCACGGGGGGCCAGTATAAAAAAAAATATGTATTCACTAACTGTAAGTCGCTCTGGATAAGAGCGTCTGCTAAATGACTAAAATGTAAATGTAATGTCCTGATGAGGGGATACAATTTTAATAAAATGCTGATCCTGTCAATAAAATGGCCAACTACTTAAATGTGTTCAAAAAGACCACTTCTGGGGTCCTGACCAGGGACGGCCTGTTCAATAGGGCGATATGGGCGACGCACTGCCAAACGGGAAAAGGAAGGGATTTTTTTTCTAATCAATTATATCACGGCAACAGTAGTTATCAGTGTTGTAATCTGATCTGACTGCCACTAAATGTCAAATCAGGCTAAAGTCGTGCTTCAAATGGCCCCGCCCGTTTTTGGGCGATTTCAGTCAGGTTGAAAATCGCCCAGAAGTCTCTCATAGCCTGTCATGTAAAATCTATTTTTTTCAAATTTCAAAGCTTTCAATACATTCTCTATGGGTGTCTGTGGGCTTGCACTTACGCGCTTTCGTCATACGTGACGTAACCATGAACGTAACTAAGCAAATAGCGGCTAGCAGCGTCTCTTTGCGACCTGCAGTGTGGCGTTATTTTATGTTTTTAATTTGTACACTTAGTGGCGTTATTTTATGTTTTTAATTTGTACACTTAGTGGCGTTATTTTATGTTTTTAATTTGTACACTTAGTTTACAAACATTCTGCCAACCATGGATTTCGAGTGGTGGGTTTTGGACTGATCTTGTTGATCGTGTACATACCCGCTACGAACGGACTAAATAATGAAAACGTTGCTGGCAGCGGAATCCAATACAGCTGGGAGACTTGGCTGGATGACAGAGTCCCGGACAGAGAAGTGGAGCCGGCCGGCTTCACCCTGGTCGGAGCGGACCTCGATCTGACAGTCACAGGGAAAATCGATCCTGGTAAGAGAGCGACTCTGTACCCCCGAGCCCCGACATTGAACTGCTTTCTGTGTCACTGTGACCTTACTATCTGCCCCGTGAGTTCCCCCAATTGTTTGTTACCGTTGTGTACTGTTGATAATCACAAGTTTACTGGAGAACTGAGACCAAGTAGAGACTTTGGACAGGGTGGATATGCACAAGATTTTAGTCAGACCAAGCTATAACATTATATATTTACTACGACAGTACATTCAACCAAAAGCTAATATAACAAAGGCATCAGAGATTATTTATAATCTGTCACAGAAACTGGAATCCATCTCCCCAGATCAGTCAATAAATGCTTCTGGTATTGACTTATATGCTGCCCCTGTCTTCATGTTGTTGCTGGACATATCTTTTTTAAAATGTGTGTAGGTCACCTAAATCATCAGAAAAATTGCCCCTCCTGAGAATTTTTTCAGGAGCCGCCACTGGTCCTGACCATGGCAATTCATTTCAAGCTGTTTTTATCCTTCACAGCCTACGAATGAAAAGTATATCAGTAAAGGACACAATGAGTGAGAGAATGAATATAATCCATTATTTCTGGTTTCAATAGCCTATAGGCCTATTCAAAATATACCATGACTTGGTAATTTATATTTAGGAATATGTAGGCCTGACTGTCTATAAATGTTTCGAGACAATTTACAAAAAATCTGTGCATGATGTTGTTGGCTACAGTTAGGCCTATGTTGTGATAATTCAGTTCTTAAAAATGAAGTCACCTTGCCACACCGACCTGTTATAGCCTAGGTTAATGTGGTTCTCTGTGGCTCAACTGGTACAGCACGGCGCTTGTAACGCCAGGGTAGTGGGTTCGAGCCCCGGGACCACCCATTCATAAAAAATGTATGCACGCATGACTGTAAGTCACTTTGGATAAAAGCGTCTGCTAAATGGCATATTACTTTATTATTATAATGAGTTAACATTTGGAAAATAATATGCATGGCTATATATCAAGAGGGTCTACAAAGTGTAGCCTACACGTTGTTTGTATCAAATATTTTAAGTAAAAGTAACACAGTTTATCAGGAAACAAACACTTCATCACACGTAAGGGGAATTCTACTCACCGTTATAAACCGCAGACGAAACCGCATGCACGGCTGCCAGGATAACAAAAGTTTTATACAACATCCTCCCAGAACTGCAATGAAGTCCCATAAAGACGAACATGTTTGCTAAAGACGAACAGGTTTGCTAATAAAGCTTATAGCGCTTCTTCTAGATCTGGAAACGTTTTTTAACCTGTATGTTTGATCTGTCTCCTCACTGTTGTTGTACTAAACTGTACTAAACTGTAGCTTTCAGACAGTTCACCCTCCCCTGTCCCACCATGACGCATATTAAAGAATTTTTTTTCAGCAGGGCGCGCGTTCCTTTCTTCTGATGTCATCAGTTGGGATCAAGGATCGGAACGGAAGAATAATGCAGCTGCATGTCAAAGCTTTCACATGGGTCAACATTTAATGTTGAATGACATTTTTGACTGAATGGAGATCGATGCTGTTTTCTTGTTAGGATAACTGTTAACTGTTAAATAGACCTAGCCTATGATAAGTCTATTTAACAGTTATCCTAACAAGAAAACAGCATCGATCTCCATTCAGTCAAAAATGTATATACAGTGGGGAGAACAAGTATTTGATACACTGCCGATTTTGCAGGTTTTCCTACTTACAAAGCATGTAGAGGTCTGTAATTTTTATCATAGGTACACTTCAACTGTGAGAGACGGAATCTAAAACAAAAATCCAGAAAATCACATTGTATGATTTTTAAGTAATTAATTTGCATTTTATTGCATGACATAAGTATTTGATCACCTACCAACCAGTAAGAATTCCGGCTCTCACAGACCTGTTAGTTTTTCTTTAAGAAGCCCTCCTGTTCTCCACTCATTACCTATATTAACTGCACCTGTTTGAACTTGTTACTTGTATAAAAGACACCTGTCCACACACTCAATCAAACAGACTCCAACCTCTCCACAATGGCCAAGACCAGAGAGCTGTGTAAGGACATCAGGGATACAATTGTAGACCTGCACAAGGCTGGGATGGGCTACAGGACAATAGGCAAGCAGCTTGGTGAGAAGGCAACAACTGTTGGTGCAATTATCAGAAAATAGAAGAAGTTCAAGATGACGGTCAATCATCCTCTGTCTGGGGCTCCATGCAAGATCTCACCTCGTGGGGCATCAATGATCATGAGGAAGGTGAGGGATCCGCCCAGAACTACACGGCAGGACCTGGTCAATGACCTGAAGAGAGCTGGGACCACAGTCTCAAAGAAAACCATTAGTAACACACTATGCCGTCATGGATTAAAATCCTGCAGCGCACGCAAGGTCCCCCTGCTCAAGCCAGCGCATGTCCAGGCCCATCTGAAGTTTGCCAATGACCATCTGGATGATCCAGAGGAGGAATGGGAGAAGGTGATGTGGTCTGATGAGACAAAAATATAGCTTTTCTGCAAAGGGGACAGGACGACTGCACCGTATTGAGGGGAGGATGGATGGGGCCATGTATCGCGAGATCTTGGCCAACAACCTCCTTCCCTCAGTAAGATCATTGAAGATGGGTCGTGGCTGGTTCTTCCAGCATGACCACGACCCTAAACACACAGCCAGGGCAACTAAGGAGTGGCTCCGTAAGAAGCATCTCAAGGTTCTGGAGTGGCCTAGCCAGTCTCCAGACCTGAACCCAATAGAACATCTTTGGAGGGAGCTGAAAGTCCGTATTGCCCAGCGACAGCCCCGAAACCTGAAGGATCTGGAGAAGGTCTGTATGGAGGAGTGGGCCAAAATCCCTGCTGTAGTGTGTGCAAACCTGGTCAAGACCTACAGGAAACGTATGATCTCTGTAATTGCAAACAAAGGTTTCTGTACCAAATATTAAGTTCTGCTTTTCTGATGTATCAAATACTTACGTCATGCAATAAAATACAAATTAATTACTTAAAAATCATACAATGTGATTTTCTGGATTTTTGTTTTAGATTCCGTCTCTCACAGTTGAAGTGTACTACCTATGATAAAAATTACAGACCTCTACATGCTTTGTAAGTAGGAAAACCTGCAAAATCGGCAGTGTATCAAATACTTGTTCTCCCCACTGTATATGTAATGCGTGCATATGTATTCACCCCCTTTGCTATGAAGCCCCTAAATAAGATCTGGTGCAACCAATTACCTTCAGAAGTCACATAATTAGTTAAATAAAGTGTGCTACACTTTCCACATTCCAATAATGCCCGGAGAAGCCTGTGTTTGGAGGATATATTGGCATGGGTGTTGTTAGGCCCGAGACAAGTCGGCTTCGAGGGCATTAGCACTTTTATACAACGGGTTACTAACATATTCAAATAATGATTGACATATTTTAATTAAAAACTTTAGTTGTATTTATTTCATCCTTCCACAAGATATAGTCCCGACACAAATCTAGGGTTGCTACCCAAGCCGGCTGGTCGTTCGTTCTATCGGTTCGGTTGCCAGAGTTGTTAAGTCTTTTTGTTTTGTATCTATGTCATTCGTTATAAATATTCCAGTGCCATACTGGCTGGCATCGTTCTTATCCCTTGCTTGCTAGCTAGCCAACTACGGCTTACTTACAGTCACGTCAAAAAGTGCAGCCAGAATAACAGCAAAGTAGCTGTATTTGCGTTAGTTTAAACTGTTCTAGTGATATTTATTCGGATACATCCATAACAATGAGCTAATGATGCACGATTTCGCCTGGCATAGAAAATGTGCTCTCTCGTCAGGACACTGTTGTTCAGAGGAGCTAGCCAACAACAGCACTAACACAATCACTTCAAACTGAAGGTGGAAAGACAGCAAACTAGCTGCACTTCGTATCGTTTTACATGTTTTCTATTGATAGTTCTTTGTACAGTGCCTTGCAAAAGTATTCATCCCCCTTGGCGTTTTTCCTATTTTGTTGCATTACAACCTGTAATTTAAATGGATTTTTATTTGGATTTCATGTAATGGACATACACAAAATAGTCAAAATTGGTTAAGTGAAATGAAAAAAATCACTTGTTAAAAAAAATTCTAAAAAATAAACAACGGAAAAGTGGTGCGTGCATATGTAGTCACCCCCTTTGCTATGAAGCCCCTAAATAAGATCTGGTGCAACCAATTACCTTCAGAAGTCACATAATTAGTTAAATAAAGTCCACCTGTGTGCAATCTAAGTGTCACATGATCTCAGTATATATACCTGTTCTGACTAAGCAAGGGGCACCACCAAGCAAGCGGCATCATGAAGACCAAGGAGCTCTCCAAACAGGTCAGGGACAAAGTTGTGGAGAAGTACAGATCAGGGTTGGGTTATAAAAAAATATCTATAACTTTGAACATCCCACGGAGCACCATTAAATCCATTATAAAAATATGGCACCACAACAAACCTGCCAAGAGAGGGCCATCCACCAAAACTCACAGACCAGGCAAGGAGGGCATTAATCAGAGAGGCAACAAAGAGACCAAAGATAACCCTGAAGGAGCTGCAAAGCTCCACAGCGGAGATTGGAGTATCTGTCCATAGGTCCACTTTAAGCCATACACTCCACAGAGCTGGGCTTTATGGAAGACTGGCCAGAAAAAAGGCACTGCTTAAAGAAAAAAATAAGCAAACACGTTTGGTGTTCGCCAAAAACCATATGGGAGACTCCCCAAACATATGGAAGAAGGTACTCTGGTCAGATGAGACTAAAATTGAGCTTTTTGGCCATCAAGGAAAACGCTATGTCTGGCGCAAACCCAACACCTATCATCACCCCGAGAACACCAGCGTCATGCTGTGGGGATGTTTTTCATCGGCAGGGACTGGGAAACTGGTCAGAATTGAAGGAATGATGGATAGCGCTAAATACAGGGAAATTCTTGAGGGAAACCTGTTTGTCTTCCAGAGATTTGAGACTAGGACGGAGGTTCACCTTCCAGCAGGACAATGACCCTAAGCATACTGCTAAAGCAACACTTGAGTGGTTTAAGGGGAAACATCTAAATGTCTTGGAATGGCCTAGTCAAAGCCCAGACCTCAATCCAATTGAGAATATGTGGTATGACTTAAAGATTGCTGTACACCAGCGGAACCCATCCAACTTGAAGGAGATGGAGCAGTTTTGCCTTGAAGAATGGGCAAAAATCCCAGTGGCTAGATGTGCCAAGCTTATAGAGACATACCCCAAGAGACTTGCAGCTGTAATTGCTGCAAAAGGTGGCTCTACAAAGTATTGACTTTGGGGGGATTGTGTAAATCAAATGATACAAACCCCCAAAAAATCAATTTTAATTCCAGGTTGTAAGGTAACAAAATAGGAAAAATGCCAAGGGGGGTGAATACTTTCGTAAGCCACTAAAAAGAATGCTGATCCATGATTTCGACTGGCTGAGAAAAGCTGCCTGCCTGTCTGCCTCATCCCGACATGTTCATTACTATTGGACAGCTGGAGATCGAATTTGAATATTGAAACAATGTTGCAAATGTCAGAGAGACAGACAGCAAGGTTTATACAAATCTCCACTGTTGAAAACTAAATATTAATCTAAAAGTAATGTGAGATAATGTCTAGATGTTTTTTATAGTGGAGATCAACTTTATAAATTGCCTTGCTGGGCTGATGAGACAGTGGATTGCGCTGTCAGATGGAACAGAGTAAATAGGCATTTTAACGTCATATATGTAGTCGGTGGTAACTTGTGGAATAGACACGGGCTGGAATGTGGTTTTAACCAATCAGCATTCTCCCACCCGTTGTATAACACGGAATAAATCACTGTGGGACAACAAATTATTGTATGATGTACTTTATAATGGAATTTACAATCAACTATACTTTCTACCAATCAAAATGTCTCGACTTGGTGTGATTCTTGTAAGAGGAATCCATTTGTACTGATGTTGACCTCGCTCAAGCATTTAAAAACCTCTCTGTTTTCCTGTCTATTCCCAGAGGCTGCTTTTCCCTGGGAAAGTAAACAAACCTTGCTGTTTAGAACCAGTCCCCCTGAATGTTTTGTCTACATGTCCAGCTTCAGAACAACGTGTTCAGATTCAAGAATCAATCATGATGAACACTGTTTCTAGATGATTCAACTAGTGAAATACAGGGTGTGTAAAATAAAAAACAAGACAATAAAACAAAATTGGGAATTTCTGCACTTTTGGGTTTTGATCTGTGATTAATGCGTAAAACTACTCCTTAGCGACAATGATGAAAACAGATACAGATGGTGAGGGTAGGCAACAACACCTCCACCCCCTTGATCCTCAACACGGGGGCCCCCCCAGGGGTGCGTGCTCAGC